CCCCTCTAATCCGTCACCTTTGGGACTGGGGGTATGGTCGAAACACAAAAAAGGTCAGATTATCAGAAAAAAGTAAAATAAACAATCTTCCCCTTTGTCCAGTCTTTGTAGCACTGCTAATTTTTCATTTAATGAAAGAGTAACGTGTTTACGTTTCACTCCTGACATGTTGAAAACACACACAAAATCGTACATATACACAATGTAAAACATATACTGTAACAAACACAGAAAAACTCCACAGACGGTGAGTCACCGACGAGTCGGGACAAGTTTCTCGAATCCGAAACGGTCGGATTAACTGGAGTGACGGACTAGCCGAGGGCGGGGACTAGAAGGGTTCTACTGTATGTAAGAAATATTTTGCAGAAATTAAACAGCATGAATATTTTTATTTATTTATACAAAAAAAATCAATGCTTTAGAAATAAAAACAATTTCAGCAGAGAAAAGTTTTAAAAATATCACTAAACAAGACTGGAAGATTTACTAATAATAAAATAATAATTCTTTGAAACTCACAATATGTGATAAAATAAAACTTTCCTAATACAGGTAACCCCTGTATAACACGGTAGTTACGTTCCAAAAAAATGCCGTGTTATGCGAAACAAACAACTAGTAAGAAAAGGAGGGTTAGGTTCCAAAAATTAAAAAACATGCTATTATATAAATAACAACAACTCTAAGCCCGAACTGCGTAACTGGCAAGCGCACTGCACGGCAAGCCCCGTCCCAGGCCATTCTTTTATTCCAGAAGGTTCTAAAATTTATTTAATAATTTATTTATTTAATTTTAATTATTAATTTAATTAAGAGATGGCACCTAACGCCTACCTCTAATGTCAAATTACTTTATTCCAATCATTTAATTAGCCGTATTATAGCCCGATATTTAGGCAATCGTTTGGTAATTTATCATGCTATTATATTTATAAGGAACCAAGTCCGAGCATTATTTTTATTTACTTTTATTTTGCTTTTTATTATATTTTTTTTGGGGCTTATGTTTTGTTAGGATGAAGGTTTCCTCACCATTCACCTTAGAAACTTAAAAATGGAAGAGAAACCAACTCACCAACGAGAGAAAAGCGCCGTAAAAAAAACTCATGCACACTTACATTCCCGAGCGGAAAAAAGTAAGTCCGCACCGAGAAAAAGGGGGGAGAAGACCCCACAACTTAAATTCGCTAAACCTTAAAAGAATAAAACATCCTGAAAATTGTAAAAAAGAATAATGTAAAAGGTTAGCGAGTATTGTCGGAAGATAGGCTGCCAGACAAATAGAAAAGTTTATTGTTAGCAAATAAGTATGTAAATGAGGGGAGTGATCGCATTCAGAATTGTGAAATACTGTGAGGTGACGCCTCACAGTATAAAGACTGAACGTCAAGTGAAGATGGACGAGGTGAACTCCAGTTAGCAACGAGCTTGGTGAGCTTCATAGCAGTGAACAAGAGAGGTGTCCAAGGATCAAATAGTTCCAAGGCGATTTTGAAGTTATTCGATTTGTAGATCAACGAATAGAGAAGGTCTTGAGAGTTGAGGAAATAGGTTCCTAGTATATTGAGGTGACGATTAGGATCTTTAATTCATAAGGATTATTGTATATAAGTTAAGTCTTTGAATTTTGTTGAATTCCAAAGGGGAATAGATTTAAGTTAGAAACTAGATTGATTTGAGTTTTATCGGGTTGATTCTTATTGATTTTCATTGAATAAATTGAAATTGTTTGATTTTTACTAAATTTTGTAAATAGTTATTATTAGAATTATTTATTAAATATTTGATTTTGTTATTGACAAACTTGGTCATTATTTAATTTCGGTGCACGCTAAAAGTCCAGACCTGGCACGTAACGCAAATCCGCGTAAAGTACCCGTTAGGTAATGGCTATTTCCGGCACACAGTTGTGTCGATAATCGTTGTAGAGGGCGGAAAAATAATATAGTACTTTACATATTTTCATAATTAAGATAAGAAAATTTTAATAAAGATATTTAAGTGGTACATATTAATATAAATTAAATAATGTTTTCTTCATTATCACTAAAAGCACTAGTAACCGAGGATAACTTGTCAAAAAGAAAACGGCACGTTATCCTTATTCTCTGAGCATTTTTCTGCATTATCTTCAGATCCATGCTTTACCTTTTGCAAAATGTACGTAATTTTAGATAGCTTGCTTCTAGTTAAAAGATCTTTATAAATTTCCTCATATGGTGCTAAACACTTATGAAGAATAAAGCAAGTATGAAAAAAGGGAAAAACATCTGGCAACATCAGAAGCAGAAGCGTTGCGATCTGGCAACGTTGAAACAAGTTTCGAGAAGGACCATGTGTATCGACAAAAGGCGAGAAAAGAAAATTTACATACTTAAGTACTAATAGTTCATGAAAATAATAATTTTCGTGAACTATTATTACTTAAGTATGTAAAAATTTATTACATTTCATGTTGTACGAGGGTTTTACCCAATTCTCAAACCGCGTCAGAGTAAATCCGTGCTATAACAGTACTGTGTTATACGGGGGTGGTACCAATTCTCGAACCGTGTTAGAGTGAATCCGTGCTATAGAAGTGCCGTGCTATACGGAGGTTACCTGTACATGATGTCTGAAAATTTATTGTGGAAAAGGTTTCAGTTAAGTTCCAATAAAAGTAAAATTTTATGTATGATATTACAGTTTCTCCTCCAGTAAATGCTGGAAATGTTCCCCAGAGGCTCCAAAATCCAGGGAACTGAGGTCCATAGACCAAACAGGCCAAATTCCACAGGAGATTATGTGACCAGCAAAGAAGTTTCCAAAAACTGTAGTCCAAAAACCAGAACATTTGTGTACTGGTTTTTGGACTACAGTTTTTGGTACTTTGTGTATATTTGTGTACTGGTTTTTGGACTACAGACTGTCCAAAAACCAGAACACTATGTACTGCAAAGTGGAAATGCAGGATATACAACTTATGGGTCTCATATGCAATGCTAAGTGTAACATTAAAATCAATACAAAGTTTTCACAGTAACTTCACAGTAACTTTTTGGACACTCTATATGATCAAAATGTTTGAAATGTACCCTAACAACTTTTTACACTTTACCTGTTTATCATTACTTGGTGCGATAGAACTACTAGTAGATCCCATATTTTTTTCTTTTAATCTTCCCTCTCTAGTCCACACAATTTTCGCTCGTACATGATCACTTCTGTAAGGACTACAAAAAAGTTACTGTTCATCGGTAATCTAATTTTTATATTTATGAATTAACTTACCTTTCTTGCATTGGAAAATTCTCAGAACAAAGAGAATGATAAGATGGAGAACAAACAATAGATTGTGAATCACTCCTCGAATCTGAATTCTCAATATTAAACTGAAATTCCTCTGTATGTAAAATGTCTGCTTCTGAAAATCATCATCAATATTAAAAAACTATACATATTGTATTATGATTTATTCTTAATTTTAGAATTAGTAAATACCTTCAAAATACAGTGGAACCTCGGTATATGACCTTAATCCGTTCCTGATGTTTGGACTTATACTGAATAGGACGTATACTAAACCAACCTTTCCCATAAGAAGTAATGTAAAAATGATTAATCCATTCTCGTGTAAAAAAACAAATAGCTGGATTTAAACACCTCGCTTTCCTGGTTAGTTCCTGCTTGATTTTTCATGAGATCAGCATGTATCTTTTTAGCTTTCTCACAAATAATTTCTTCCGATAGGATGTCACCAGCACACTGTTTTTCAGTTATCCAAGCAAAAGCAATTTCTCAACATCATCTGAAGTCTTTGATCTCTGTTTACAAATTGATTTAACTCCTTTCGCAACGATAGCAGATTTAATAATGTCTTTATTTTTCGCAATTGTCGATATCTTCGTTCTTGGAATATGGTATGCAACAGTTAAACCTCGAACACACGTCACCTTCATATTTCTCAACAATCTCTTTTTTCAGTTCCATTGTGATTCTAGTGATTTTTTTTAGTTTTCTGTTTCTTTTCATTTGCCTTTTTGCAATTCATGATTAATAAAATAATAAAATTTTACTTAAAATTTAAAAAAGTTATAAACCGTGGCACCGCAAACATCTAGTCAGNTAAATTAAGTACAATATGTAACGAAAATTTAAGTATACTTCAGAAGAAAATTTTCTTTAAAAATTTCTATTGAATGTCACCCATAAAAATACAGGTAACCTGAAATATCACTCGGGAAAATCACGATCGCACTTTATATATTGAAGATTAAATTATTTATTAAATTTTGTTATTATTAAAAACATCAAGATATCGTTTTTTTCATCTTAAATTTACATTCAGCCATTTTATAAAATGCCTCGATAGGCTAAATAAGTTTAATATATAACTGAACCATATTGGTTTGAATAAAATTTCGAATAAATCTATGAACATGAGTAGAATAAGCTATAAAAGAAATATTCGAAATTGTTGTAAAGTTATGATATAATTACAACTAATAAGATGAAAAATAACCTAAATTATTTAACCCGTATATTTTCAGATCGCTCTTAAACGCCCGTCCATCAGTGAAACTGAAATGTATTTTAAAAACTGTTTCGTAATTTAATAAATAATTTTAACGTAATGAAATCGAATTTATTATTAATTATTGCTTAAATATATTTTGTTTTTAAAGTGAATTGTGGAGCTATGGGGATCCCCTTTCATTATTCCACGATAGATTGACTAACGTTTAAGAAACGTCGGGATGCCTGACGTCAGTAACTTTTTTCTCGAGAGAACTGAACCTTCACACACTTAAGTGGGAGATATTAAACAGCCACAAAAATAATAATTCTAAATAAAAGCATTTTGAGAATGAATTTTTTAGCAATTTTCTAGTTTTATTGAAATTAAGTTCAATGAGTTTACAATTGTAAAAAAGAATTTCAGTTTAAAAGTCAAATACAATTTTAAAAATACTTTGATCATTTAATTCTACGATGGATGAAATCAGACAAAGTTGTCACATATAACACACATTATGAAAATTGTTTACAATTATGAAATTTTTATTTGATAGTTCATAAATTACTATATTATAATTAAAAAGAAATCACTGGGTAGAAAAATGAATCCATTTTTTCTTTATCAGCTCCTCAAGATTTGGCACCGTCACCATCTTGAACTGATTTATCGTCATTTTTTACCGATAATTCGGATGAATCCTCTGTTTTTCTCTGTCTTAACACTTGTGCAATTAAATTATCTTCTTCCGATCCAGTTAATTTAGCATCGTGATATTTAATATCACTTGAAACGTCATCCATTTCTTTCACTTCACTGACATTTAATGATTTCTTAAACATCAATCTTCTGTCTTCTTTCTAAAAGTTTAAATTATTATTATTATAAAATTTTTAGAAAGTAATTTTTAACTTCTAATGAACGTTAAATACTTTTTATTCACATCTCAACTGATCATATACAGAAATAATTAGAATTAAAAAAATAAAAGGCAACCAAATTTTAAAAATTATGAATTATGGAATAGTTTTACAAAATTTCATAAAATAAATTACTTAATTTCTAACATCAGAAGTTTTTAATTAGCAGTATTTAAACAATGGTTGGATGACAAAATAATAATTTTATTTAGCACATTCCTCATTAGGAAGATGTTAAATAAAATTTATATTAGGAATTTAAAATGGGTTTCTATTACATAGCATTGATAATTCATCTTATTTATTTATTAATATTTTCTCTCATCCAAACTTTTTTCCTAATTTTTACAACAAAAATCTGGAATTCTGAATTTGCACTTCAATTAAATAAATATTTGCACCTTTTTTCTTAGATTATTTGATGAGTTAGTACTATTATTAGTAAATGGTGTATTATTCTTTCTTCATAAATTATTTTTAAATCATCTTGTTAACTGGTGGCCAAAAGTTTCTGATTCCCTAAGTTAATTTTAGTCCAGATTAATAAATAATTAAAATAATGAATATGATTTGCATTGCATTCTGGAAACTTTTCTACATTGTTCAGTTTCCTAGCAACATAAAAAACATGCTGCATCATTGCATCTCATACACATAATTCTGTATAGAATCCTACAATTTTTAGAATTTTTTAGATGTAGAGACCTGGCCTTAGAAACATAAAAAAATTCCTTAACAAATAAAGAAGAAGTTAAATCATTTTTACTAAGACATCTTGCAACTATCATGTGTTAATAAAACTGAGGCAGAGCCAGAAAGAAAGAGGTGATTCTTGCACAGGCCAGGTATAGAAGAGGTGATCCAAGAACAAAGCAATCGATGTTTATTGCTATGTTCTTATATTTGTTTTTTGCACCCATTTTCTGTCAAGCATGCAATGCTGTTATATACATATCTGCCCCCTAAATTCCATTAGGGGTACTCAATTGCATAAGGGAGCATGGACATTATTTACTTTGACCCTACTGTACCTTGAAAACAAAGTCATGGACCCCCATTTTTTACTACATTTTGGGATTTCTCATCATAATTAATAGAAAATGGCAAAGTTTTATCAAAATCAGCCCATCAAATTTTGAGAGTGAACACAGTTCTGTAAACCACATATTTGAGGTGGAAAGTCACTTTCTCCTATGCTTATTTTTAAAAAAGCAACCCATTTTATTGATGTTTCTGCATAACAAATTGTTAACAGTTATGAATCACTAGCCAAAAAGTTCCTGAATGGGATCAGAAACTTATTGGCTGATGGCATTTTAGATTACTGAATTGTCAATCAATAAATTACATGATCAATGTTTTTCAAGAAAGCATGACTTTTATGCATGACTTTTATGTAAGATAATACAACTACATATAAAGCTAAGGATTCCATCAAGGAAATTGAAAATCCTTTCCTCCCAGAAGCACCGTGTGGACTGATTGGCCTGAAAACTCACCAGACCTGAATCCCACGGAAAACATTTGATTGCAATTGCAGGAGTAAGTATTTACATTATCCAGACCATGCAACAGGAAACAATTGATTCGTTGGTTCAACACGAATGGACTTCCTGATGTAGCCCAAAGTTGGCTGAGTGCACACACTTATCCTTGAAGATTAAGTGCTGAACAGAGTCAGAGATCAAGTTCAAAAGTATAAGATTTATTAGTATTGGAAATGCATTCCCAATACTAAGATAAGTCTGTGCACTCAGCCAACTTTGGGCTACATTGAGAAACATTAACTCAGACAAGAAATGAGGATATTTACAATGAATGGACTTCCATATCTTAGGAAAAGCTACCTAATACCATTCTAAGCTTCCCTAAAACAGAAAAGGAATGTTTGGCTAGTGATGGAAGCCATACTAAATACTAACACAGAAAATTGATGTTACAACTGTAGTATACAGTAAGTTTATTATTGTTAATAAATTTGAATATAAAATAGAAATTTGTGTTTTTCATTTTTTATAACTAATAAAAACAAGGAACATGTTCAGATTCAAACACTTTTTAGCCATCCTATGTAATTATATTTTCGCAGAGTTATTATTTTTCTTTTGAAGTTCCTCAGCTCTCATGTTCCAAAGTTCTCAATGAATTTCCTATTTAAAAAACAAAAAATAATAAAGACTAAATATGTAGGAATCTTGAGAAATGACAGCACAAAAACATCAATATTTTATATATCTAAAATAGTAGTAGATTAATTTTTGATTTGACTCTCGACTGTTTCAATATTTAATTTTATTTAACTATCTTAATATTTACACATTTTTTCATTAAAACAAAAAGAAAACTAATGAGTGACTTTACACATACTTCATCTATTTCTCTTCACTAGTTATATATATATTTGCTATCAAGTAAAATGATAAATTTTTTCTGTACAAATTGCTCTTTCTAATTAAAAAAATTAATAAGAGTAAAGGAAAATGACAATGAAAATTTAGTTCATGCTAATTAGATAAAATTAAATGGAAACAGAAATCTGGTATTACAAAAATTATAGTAGAAAAGGTCTGAATAAAATGAATTGTTACTATTCAGGGAAATAAGTAACATATTGTAGGTTAATAACAAAAATAATGAAAAAACAATTTATGAATAGTACTGTCAAAGTAATTTGCTGATAGCAAAAAATTTTTTAACCTTTAAAATTTGAATTTTAGTTTAAATACATAAAATTTTATTAAAAATTCATGTTAAGGAACTTTCTAAGTAGAAAATTGTAGCCACAAAAGACTAAAAAAATTGATACTTTTGAAACTTTTACTGCTAATTAAAAAATTCTTTATTGTTAACACATATTACAAAGCATTGTAAGAGAATATTAATAATAATTGATGCTTACTGATTTTACCTTTTGAGCTGCTTCATTCATGTTAGTTGTTCCAGCAAATAAGGCTTTACATAATTCTTCTTCTTGTGCTGTTGTTTGAAGCATCTAAAATATTAAATAAACAAATAATAATTTTATAATTTTTTAAAATTATAAGTTAAAGTTTTCAAAACAAACTGCAACTCCTAAAATTTGAAACAAAATCATTTTTGTGTACTTCAATATTTAAGTAGAATAAACTTTTCAGTAAAATGTGACAGATTTTATAAGGCTACAGCTTAAAGAAGTAATTAAAGTAACTTCTTTTATAATATTAATCAATAACTTCAATTCATTTCTGATACATAAAAAATAAAAGATATTTTTCTTAAAAATCTAAAAGTTACTAACTTGTTGAAACAAACTAACAAATCTTGCTAGCTATGTATCATTAGTGATCTAGAAGATGACAGCTTATCAATATAAAAAATTACAATTTAATATCATTTAAATAAAAATAATTTTTTAATTATTTTTATTTAAATGATATTAAATTGCACAAATATCCCCAACTTACAGTATATGGCTTAGATTATGAAACTAAATTAAAATTTACAAAAAGAATCTAACAATTTATTAATAAAACAGTAAAATCAAATCATTAGTAATAAGCCAATGTATCACAAATTCAAATCATATAATTATTTTGTGGTTAAATGCTTATCCTATTAATGCTGCTTACTATGATAATGTAATTATAAGATAATCAAACAAAAAATTCACTTGCAAGAAGCAGACTTGGTAATGCTGGCAATGTGTCTCAACCATTATATCTTTCTTATCTCTAATATCGGTTTTGAAAGTAATTACATTTTTTTACCACCACAGAGATTAGTTGCATTTTTACCTGCCAATTTCATTCTAAATTGCATTGTCATTATATATTTTGACAGCTGACATTTCAAGGCTTATTTGTAAAAAATTTTGTTTCATTCTTTGCAATTGTTTTTTTTTTTTGGGTCTCCCATCAAATATGGAAAATCAAAAGCAGCATTTTCGGCACATTTTGCTTTTTTATTACCAAAAAATTAAAAATGCTGTTCAAGCAAGAAAAAAATTGTGATGTGTATGGAGAAGACTGGTTGACAGAACAACAATGCCAAAACTGATTCACAAAATTTTTTTCTGGAAATTTTGATATTGAGAATGCACCACATTCTGGAAGGCCAGTTGAAGCTGTGAAGACAAAATAAAGGTATTGATTGAAGCAAACCACCAAATAACAACATGAGAAATCACTAAGAGATTAAATTTGTTGAATTCAACTATTAATGATCACTTGAAACGATCATGGGGTAGAAGAGATGAGCCTGCTCAAAGCACTTTGAAAGCAAATATTCATCAGAAAAAGTGATGCTCTCTGTTTGGTGGGATTTTAAGGGAATAGTTTGTTTATTTTTTTTTTGAGCTTCTACCAGACAATTCCACAATTGATACAAAAGTGTACTGCCATCAACTGGACAAATTGAGTGATACCATCGAACAAAAAAAGCCAGAATTGATCAACAGAAAAGGTAGTGTTTCACCATGATAATGCTAGACCTCACACAAGTTTGGTAACTCATCAGAAG